ACACTGTGGATTCATATTGTGCTTGTAGTCAACCAAGACCTATAGGCTTTCAATCTAAGTTAAAGATTTTAGAAGCACCTCTGTTAAATTTAATCTTGTTAGTCTGGCCCCCGAGCTCCTCTGGAAAGATCGTTCAAGATTGTTATTCTGTCATTAATGGCTTTCCTCTCTAGCTTTGTGTAATCTGCAATTTGATAAGAATATTTTCAATTTTGTTTACAATATATTGTTGAATATAAATAATAAATTAAAAATAGTTTTACGATGTGATCTTGTTTTTTTAAAATACTTATTTGTACAAAAATGATTCTGGAGATAGAACAAAATCTTAACAGTCCTTACCTCTGAAGGACAATATGACTTATGTTTTTTAATATTTGGTTATATATTTTTTCTGATTTAATAAGTGAGCTTGTTATTTTAAACAAAAGTCCTACCTGAAAAGGCTGGTTCATTCCACATCTTTTTGCTTTGAATATATAATGTCTTTATTGTTCTTAATTGCTATGAATGTCTTGACTCTTCAATTTGATTCAAAACTCCTCGAGGACAAGGCAGTTGTACTTTCTGTATTCCTCATGGCAGCTGGCACAGTGCTGGATTAATTGATTTGTCTTTAACTTGTCCTTTACCCAGTGCTGAAGTCATGGCCTTTGTCTGACTTATCTCTTGTTTATATCCATATCTTAACATGAGAACATGACATTTTATCTATGACCTACACTTAAACAAATTAAGCTGATTCATTTACTGGTAAATAATTATTCACTGTGTTAACAAATCTATTTAGCCAATTGAAAGTCAATTATTTTAATTTACCATGGTTGGTTGATAATTGTACAACGTAAACATAAATAATGGAATAATTTTGGTGAGAGAGGAGTATTGGTGAACCCTCGACATAATTATTTATTGAGACGAGCTCTATGCTAAGAATTCCTACAAATGGAGATGAAGGCATGACCTTCATTTCAAGGTGCTGATAGCTTAGTTGGGAGATAAGACTCTGAAGAACAAAAGGATGTCAAGTTGCATATTGGGATGTCAGTTGATGTTTGATACTATCTTAAGGTCATTACATTTCTCTCTTCTACAGAGCATTTGGTTAAGGGGCATTGGGAGTGGGGTTAGGACTGGATCCTTCAATTGTAACCGTTAGAACATAATAAACTGAAATACACAGGAAAGTTATTTCTATAAAGTTTTCCTACATATTCTACATGTTTGTTTTACAAAGACATAGAAGCTACAAATTTTCCATAAGATAGAAGTAATTTACCATGGCCAAGTAATCTTTCCCTTCCCAGCCTTCCTTGCCCTCACACAGTATTGTCTACTCTATGTCTCTGAGGCAGACTCAGTGGACCATGGCTCTTCCTTCTTCCACCATTGTCCAGGACACCCTCATTTCCCATTTATCTGGGGTATTTGGGAAACATGGGCCAAGCAGATACTTTGTCCTTCAGTGACCACATGCAGATTACATGGAACACCTTGTTGTGATAAAGCCCTATGTGTTCACAAAGGGCAAAGACTATGAGGAGGTACTATGAAATTATGAAATCTTTGTGTGATTAATTTTTAGCCCACTTGCTGTATCCATTGCTTCACTCTTAAAGTTTTGCTACCCCTCCTTGGGTAAGGATTTTTTTTTTTTTATTTTCTTCTTCGTTCTTATCAATTGTTCTTGTTCCTAGAAAGCCTAAACTGGCCTAGAAAAGAAATGACTCTCTCTCTCTTTCCCTCTCTCTCCCTATCCCTTTCTCTCTTTCTTTTCCTCCTTCTCTCTCTCTCTCTCTCTTCTTCTTGGATTATCTTATCATTCTACTTAATCCTCCAAACAAAGAAAAGGAAGAATTATTACCTTCTCTTTAAAGATGAAAAACCTGAAACTCAAAGAGGAGAAGAAATTTTCCCAATGTCACACAGCTAGTGAAGGGCAGAGGAAGAGTTCAAAGAGAGATATTTCCACTCCAAAGCCAGCGTTAATCCTTTGACAAAACAGTAGGTGCCCAGAGGACAGGTACTGGGCCTTCAACTCTGTCTTTCTAGGAGCTACAGGTGTTGGCATAGGATGATGACCAATATATTTTCTTTGAATTGAATCTTAAGTTGGATCTTGGAACCTTCAATAGAGAAAAACCTCAGAGGTCATCCAGAACCTTGTCCCTATAAGGCAGGAACCCACCTGGCAATAGGGAAGGGGTCAGTTCCAGAGACATCCCTCCCTAATCCTCCTTGCTTCTCCCACCATTCTCACACAGTTCTTCGGCTAGCTCCTCATGCTAAACAAATCAGGGAGCACACCTGTTTGTCTTTTAACTAACTTAAAATTTTTCCTTTAGAAAATTAATATATCTTCATTGTGGAAAATGTAAAGAACCAACTCAGTAAAAAGAAAATTAGAAACCACACATGGCCTCACTAACAAAAGATAATAACTGTTATCTCTGCTTTTCCTTCCAATGTCTTTTCTACACAAATATTTTTTAAACAAAACATAAGTAATCATATAATGCAAACCTTTATAACCAGTTTTTTCACTCAACAATAAACATCTTGCAATGTCAATGAACATAGATGAACATCACCTTCAATGACTCCATAGCTTTTCCTGTGCTGGACAAATGGCTGGATAGATTATCATTCATCAGCTAGTTCCCTGCAGGTTAATGTTCGTGTCAAAACTATTTTAAAATTTTCAAATAAATTGTTTCTTGATGATGTCATTCATGCAGACATTTACTAGCAGGAGTGGAGGAGTCATTTATTTCTTAAGTTTGATTCACTTAAGTCTAAATCATGCTATACCTCCATAAAGGATCATAGAGGAAGACATCATTTTTTGTGTGTGTAGAAATGTCACATTTAATTAGATACATTATGGCAACAAGATATATCCAATGGTGTAAAGAGTGCAATAAGTTCAAATGTAAAACGTTATTCAGAATTAAAGATGACATGTACATAAGTTCAGTTTCAATAGAGATAGCATCTCATATATGGAAATGTGTTTTTCTATAGAAAAATAATATTAAAACAGTGATCTAATTATATGATCAACAAGGTAGTGCTTAGTTAACTATAATGGAAAATAATGTATTTGTTCATTAATCTCATTCCTTATATTTCCTTAATCCTATACCTTTTGGGGAAAAAATTATTTTCTATCTATGAATAGCCACCTTCCTTAATTTTTGTATATCAGACAGGGGACAACTAGAAAAACAAACAGAAGGAATTTAATACAGGGAAACAGTTATAAGAGACTTTGAAGAAATGAAACCAGACAAAAGAGAAGAAGTAACCCAGAACTTATTTACTACAGGAAGGAACAAAATATAGCTAGAGAAAAAAAACCAAGAGATTATTGTTTCCAAAGTGCAGAACTCACTGTCACTGTGCTAGTTAGTGAGGGCACAATACAAGAGGGTTGCATTAAGCAGATACTGGGGTAGACCATCCAGAAGATGCTGACCCCATAGAGAGAGAACCTCATGGTCACTACTAGAACCATCAAGGAAGAACTGCTGCCACCAAAGCTGGGATCATCGAAGCAATGCAGCCACTTCCACGGTTGCTGCCAGAAGCAAAAGAAGAGAAAGAAAGAGAGAAAGGAGGAATAATAACTTCTCTCCACTTCCAATTTCTGATCTCCCACCAGTGCCTCCTAATATGCAGAACCCCTTAGGAAGGCACCTGGCACAGAAGTCTGAACAGAGTGTAGGAAGATGGGTATGAGAAGGACAGACGATAGATAAATACCTAACCCATGAGTAATACATCATTATCTTTCTACCATTTGGGGACACAGAGGAAGCTTCGTAGCAAGGCAACAAGAGCTCTGGTTCAGATTCAGTTAAAGCCCCAGAAGTCTCACCTAGAACTCAGGCTGGACTGTCAAGGGGAGGGATAGTAAATGTCAAAAGGGCCTTTTCCCTCCATACCCAGCCTCACCTCATGGGGGACGTAGGTGCCCTGTTGTCTGGTCCCACAGAGATGGGGTTCAGGTTCTCTCTGTCATTTATAGTAGTCTTAGGCATAAGAAGCCTGGTGAAAGGGACGGAACTGGAGAGCAGACGGATCTAGCTCCAGTCAACATGCTGAGATCTCTTATATCCCTTCCCCAACCCCACTCTCCTTCTACTCCTAGGCCTCCTGAGACAGGAGAGGAGAGCAAGTTGAGGTCTGAGCTTGCACAAAGCATAGAGATCTCAAAGGAGGCTAGGAGGCCCCAGACTTCTGACCCCAACTTCTGAATCCTCCTTCTCTTCCACCCTGATCCATACCCTAAACCCCAGGACAGGGATGATGTTAAGAGTCTTCATTTAACTTCTCTGAATGACTAGTATCCCAAGACAACCACACATGACTCCCATTACACAGCCAACTGGGTGGGTGGAGGGAAGTGGGTCACAGACTTTGGCCCAAGGTGAGATATTTGTAAACTGAGCACTGGGAAAGGAGGAGGGAAGCAGAAAAGAAATATAGCTATTTTCCCATCTCTGAAAAACTTGTGCATAGCCCTTGAGAGAATGAATGACTGCAGAAGCCTTAATCCGTTCATTTTTTCATTTGATGCATATTGAAGGCCTACTATGTGCCAGATCCTGGGGATACAGTGGTGAGTAATTGCTGCAGAAAAAGATATGACAAAAGCATGAACCACCCCTCTCTCAAACTTCTGTGAGATCCTTCCTCCTAGTGCCTTCTCCAGATCTTTGAACATCCTGTGATGTAAAGGCAATTCCATTTTACAGATGGATATATTGAGGCCTAGAAGGAACCCTTGACTTCTCAAGCTCACATGAGTTAAACAGTCTATCAGAATGAGAATACTGTGCTGCAGGCTCTCTAATGGATATTGCCTCCTTCCTCCTCATTCTTTCATGCTTCATGTCCCCAGGTGATTGAAGCTGTGTGCCAGGGTGTAGTCACAAAGGTCTTTGGTGTTGCCCTATGGCCCAGAGAGTAGAGTCATTGATCTTGCTGCTATTTACCTGATAGTGCCAAGATGAGATATCTCCATCCATATAGCTGTCCCTGGAAGTCCATGTAGAACAGACACTTCTGGCCAACACAAGTCCCTTCAAGCTGTGTCCTGCACTCTGGGGCCACTGTCTGGGGTAGCTGAGGTGAGGTCTGCAGACAGTTCTGCCTGGGGCTCTCCAGCTCTGAGAGTGAATACAGCTTGATGGTCAGGGACAGGTAGCCCCCTCAGTAACAACAAAGTCTTGCCCTTATTGGTAGAAACCAGTAAGGAGTTCCTGTTATCATTATAATCCCCTTCTAGTGGGTCCTGTGGTAACTATCACTTGGTAGCTTCATGGTCTGTCCCAGAAAATTCTGAACTGAGGTATTTTTTGACATCCAGTCACTTACCGTCTAGGTCAGACTTCAGAGGCCAGAGGAAGATCCTCGGTTGAAAATAGGCTCCCTTACTCTGATTCTGGCATGAACCCAAGACCTTGTGCACTTCCTCCGCCCTGTGATAGTGGTAGGCTTTGTCTTGGATGAGGTCCTGGGCAAATGCTGGCATTTGAACATGCGGAGCTCAACTTTTAGAACTTTCTCATGATTGTTCACTGAGGAGATGTAGAAGAAAAAGAGTCTGGTTGGCATGTCCCTTCTCCTTAAAATATCAAGGCATATTGCCTGTGAGGGTGTTGAGGTTATTGGTTACCCTGTCGGGATGGACCCTCTGGAAGAGAGCCACTGTAAAGCCGAGTGGGCTTGAGGGTGTCTTGCATGACATAGCTCCCGCACTGTGAACAAATGTTCTATACCCAGCTCCTCCTTCAACCAAGCCTGATCCCTGTCAGCAAGTGCCAGTAGGCCGGGTCAGTCCAGGATGCATGGTGAGCAAGAGCATGGACAGCCACTCAGGTATTAGGCTCGTGTCCTCTGGAAGCTCATGCCTTTTTGCACAGAGCTCAGAAATGAATGAATAAATGAATGAGTAAAGGAATGAATCAATCTTGTCCTTTCCCAGAAAACATGTCCTTGCTTATGACAACTTTAGTAAAGGATTCTAAGACTTTTCTATTACTAAAACATTGTCTGCCATGCCTTCCTACTTTCTATGATCACAGTGGGAAGGGGGCACCATTGAATCACAAAATCCTATAGGAAATCAGAGAAGGGAAAAAGCAGTATGTTGAGATGTTGAAAATACATGAGGCTTGAAGGGAATGTTCATTTTAGATGGCAGAAAGATCGGAGGAGTTTATTCCAGGCAGGAAGAACAATAGGAACAAAGGAGGTAAGAAAGAACATGTTAGTATGAAGAATAAGAAGTCAGTCTGACTGAAGCACTTAGTCCTATTGGAAACCATAAAAGGTTGTACAGGGGATGTCTTTGATGGGCACAGGGTCTTCAATGTTAGATTCAGGATATGTCATTTATTTTTGTATCTTTAGTGCCTCACCCAGAACCTGACACAGAATGGGCATTTAGTAAATATTTGTTGAGTGAGTGAATGAATAAATGAGTGGATGAATGAATACATAGATAAATGAATGAGTTTGATGGGAGAGAAAGTGTTCAAGTTGAAGCCAATGAGCCTGGAAGAATGGTGATGCTATGGACAGAAATGGGAAGTTTAGGCATGGTAAGTTAGAGATAATGGTGGAGTCTTCAAGTGGAAGTTTCCCATAGGAAGCTGTTTGGAACTAAGAAGAGAGTGTGTAGGTGTGGAGATTTGTGAATCCTTATTACAGTGGTAATTGAAACCACAAGTCTGAGTAAGCTCTTGAGGGCAGTTAATGTAAAACCTGAAAAGCAGAAGGCAAGGACTAAGCAGTGGGGTTTACACAGTAGGCAGTGCTAGAAAGTGAAGACAAAGGAGAAAGCATGGAGTTTGGAGAACCAAGAAAGTAGTGCAAAGAATTCAAGACAGAGATGCATTTTTTAAGGAAGTGGGGAGGGTGGCTGTGAGCCTATGTGGCAAAGCTCAGAGACTGAGTTTGTTGAACGATGGGGCTTAGTTCCTTAGACAACCAAGGACAGTACTGATGGAAGGGAGAAGCAATGTTGGGATATGACTGCTGAGCATTCTGCTGGCAAAGCTCCAGCATCCAGGGCAAGACATCGGCAGCTGGGGCCAAGGAGATTGCTCTGAGTATGGGAAAGCTTCTGCACAGCTGATGCTTTGAAGCCCCACAGATGATTTTTGAGGGCTGGGGATGGAAGTGTTATTCGCAATTGGAGAAGCTGACCAGGAACAAAGGAATTAAGAGATGTAGAAGTAAGTCATATTTAGGGTAAAGACTACGAAGTAGGCTTAGACCAGGCCTAAGAACCTCACACTCAGCAGCTTCTTCAAGCTGAATCTCTCCCAGCTCTAATTTAAGTAGCCAAGTCAATTAATAGAGAACCCAAGAAACCATCTAGAAAGGAAATCACTAACAAACAGTAATTTAAAAAAAATTTTTAAATGGGAGGTCAGAACCTCTATTTGATGAATCAATGAGTTTAACACCCTGAAGGCTTTCTGAAACTTTTGGGTAGTCCAGGGTCCAGGGTTTTTTATTGTGACAGTGCTATTTGGAGCAAGTATAGGAAGGAGGGGACCCAAGGAAACTACACCCTGCTCCAGTGTCAGCCTCAGAGGGGAAAGAACCTGAGGATAGATGTAGGTTTCAACAAAAGGGAGGAGAGACCCGGCGCCATGGCTGAGGGGTTAAAGTTCTGCGCTCAGGTTCGGCGGCACAGGTTTGCAGGTTTGGATCCCGGATGTGGACCTACTCCACTCACCAACCAAGCTGTGGAGGTGTCCCACATACAAAAAAAAAAATAGAGGAAGATTGACATAGGTGTTAGCTCAGGGCTAACCTTTCTCAAGCCAAAAAAAAAAAAAAGGAGGATTGGCAATGGATGTTAGCTCAGGGTGAATCTTCCTGAGCAAAAAAAAAAAGGAAACAGGTGGCTAAGAGTCATTGAGGCCTGCAGGAAGGAAGGAGGGAATGAAGGATGTGCAGGAACCCGTTCAGGATGGAAAAACCTGCCTGAAGTCTTAGCCATCTGCCCTTGCCTATGAGACCAGTGGTAAAGCCAATGTGGGGTGACACCGGTGGTTAACCTCAGGGCTTCAGTCTTACAGACCCAGAGTCAAATTCTGCATCTTCCACTCACCAGCTGTGCCCCTTTGGACAAATTACTTAATCCTCAGTTTCTCACTTATGAAATAACATAATAACAATAAGAACAGCAACAAAAATAACAGTGGTTAAGTTGGCAGGCTCTGCTTTCGCAGGCCAAGGTTTGCAGATTTGGATCCCAGGCGCAGACCTAGCACCGCTTGTCAAATCACACTGTGACAGCATATCACATAAAATAAAGGAAGATTGCCACAGATGTGATCTCAGCGACAATCTTCCTCAAGTGAAAAAGAAGAAGATTGATAACAGATGTTAGCTCAGGGCCAGTCTTCCTCACCAAAGGAAAAAAACGTACTTTGCTAAAAACTACTAGTTATTGAGTGTCAAGTCCTGTACTAGCCACATTAGTTTATTTAATTCTCACAAGAACTTTAAGAGGTAGAATCTAGTATTTTTGTTGTTGTTCTTATTGCACATGCTTCTTTCCTCTTAGAGACTGGCCACAAAAAGTAGGTTTTCAACTGAGACATTTTAACTCTTTGGATTCCAATGGTCCTATTCTATAAATGGTAGCTCTTCAGTACTCATTTACCTAAGTCCTAGCCATCCAAGCTGCTAAACAGACCCTGGGCACTAGAATACTCTCTGTGCCAGGCTATGAGAAAGGTACGTCAGTTATTTTCCAGGTTGGTGGGCAATCTACGGGGTGCCATTTAAAGCCAGGAAACTCAAATGAGACTCAAAAGAGAGAAATCTGCTAATGAGCCCATCAAGATAAAGAGGTAAGAGTGTCAGCTTCTGACCATCTGTCTTGTTCTGGCAACTCATGCTGTCCAGACCCCACCCTCTGCGCTTCATCTGAAACTTGCCAAGCCATTGATTTGTATTAATCTGATTGTGCATTCATTACCCCAAATACCAACCTGTCAGTGTTTGCTTAGTTTGCATGAAATCGAGCTACACAAAAATCAATGTGTGAAATCTTTGTGTTCACATATAAGACATAAAAAGGTTTATGCTGGCAGATGCAGGTTTTTAGACAGATTAAAACTGACAAATTGGCATGATCCACAATGGAGGCAATGACGAGGTCTAGTGAAATGTCAAAGGTTTTGAAAATGGCATGCTGAGGAACGAAATACATTGCTGTCAGGGGGAAAAAAGAAAGAAGAAAGGGTTATAACAAACGACTTTTGGGTTTGTACAAGTTCTGATGACTGTTTCTGAAGAACTGACTTGTTTTCAGCGGAGCTGGCATAGTGTTATTGTCCCCTAGGAACCAATAAGGAAAACAAGGGGCTAATGACTTAAGCAAGGTCATGGTGCACAGTGGCAGAGCCAGGACAGAATGGAGGAGTCTGAGCTCCCACTTTCCCAAGTCACTGAACCCTCTGACGCTCAGAGGGAGAGACTCTCACCTCTTGCGCTCTGTACAACTTGGAGGGAGCTCAAAGAAATGATTGAAGGAACTCTTCCCATTCAAACAATCACAAGACCCCCAACAGAATTCCAAAGCAGACTGATCATGGCAGACATCTGTGTGTTTTATACAACTAACACTATGTTCTGCACATCAACTTTCAAGGCACTCAGGCACTGGGGCAAAATGTCTTAGCTTTGATTGAAAGAACACCTTTAATAAGGACGATGACCAACTTAATAAATAAGAAAAAGCCACTTTCTTTTCTACAAAGCACCATAGCACTCCATAATTGTGACAAATTTTTCTTTTAATTTTGATTCCCCATGTCTCACAGCATACTTGTGGACCATCTGTTTTCAACACCATTGGATTGTGTATGCTTCAGGAATGCAAATTCTTTTTTTTTTTTTAAATAGTAGCCAAGAAAGGTAAATATGCTACTGCTGAAGAAAAAAGAATCCACTCCAAACAACTCAAAAACCATTAATAGCACATGTGTGCAAAAACTAAAGAGAAATCATCTTTGGTAAATATGGAGGATGATGCAACAGAAAGAAATTGAGCACTGGAATCAGACTTGAGTTTGAATCTTGCCCCTACCACTCATTGGTGTGAAATCAAAAAAAAAAAAAAAATCAATTTTCTAGACTTTTTTTGATCCTGGGAAACGAGAGTAAGACTCTGTAGGAGTTTTATGAGGATTAGGTGAGAAGAGGAATGTGAAAGCTCTAACATTTTGCCTAAAACATAATCGACTCTCAGTGCAGGTTTGTTCTCCACTGGATCATTCGTCATTATGAATGATTATCTGCATCTCTACCTCCATCCATTGGAATGGACACTATAGATCTGCTAAGATTAGTACTTTATCTGGTTGTAAATAGATGCACAAATATTTCCTAGCTCTAAAATCATCACCCCTCAGAGCCATGGAGACACAATCAAGTAAATAAAATTGAACTTTGTTATCGTTTGGCTAGGATTCACCAGTATGTCTGTGGGTGGATACACCAGTGAATCTTTCTTCCATTGGCCCTTTTTGTTCTGGTAATCTATTGTTGCATACCAAATCATCCCAAAACTTAGTAACTTCAAACAACAGCAATCATTTATTTTGCTCACAAATATTCAGTTTGGGCAGGGCTCAGTCTGGGAGCCTTGTTTCTGCTCCATGTGGCATCACCTGGGGCAGCTCAACTGGGGGCTGAAGGATCTACTTCCAAGATGATCACTTACCTGGCTAATAAGTTGATGCTCCATGTCGGCAGGGAGCTCAGCTGGGGCTGATGGCTAGGGGCCTCAGTTTCTCTCCACATGGGCCTCTCTGTGTAACCCAGTCTTTCTTGCAGCACAATGGCTGGCTTCCAAGGACAAGCATCCTGAGAGAGAGAGATCCAGGCAGAAGCTATGTCGCTTTTTATGACCTAGCCTTGTATGTCACAAAGCATCACTTCAGTCATATTCTATTAGTTGAGGCAGTCGCAAAGCCCTGCCCAGGTTCATGGGGAGGGGTCACAGAACCTACCTCTTCATGAGGAGTGACAAGTTTCCAGAAGAGCATGTGGGATGGGAAATATTGTTATGGCGATTTTTGGAAAATATAATCCACCACGCCTTTTTCCCCCCCATGTCTTTTGATTTCTGTCCTGGTTCAAACCTTTCTTACTAACTTGCCAGAAGTAGGACTTTTCTCTTCCTTTCTATTTGCTTGTCCATTTGGTCTTTCCTCACTCTCTTCTGTACTGAATTATACTCTAAGAGTAAGAAAGAAAATTTGGATTACTTCCCTCTCTCACCCCATTCCACAACCTTTGACTGCCCATTGCCTATGTAATAAGCTTCAAATCTGTTACATGATACTCAGTGATTCCACGTACTTCATGATCTGGATACAAATTTGTATCCCTAGCACATTCTAGTCCAATATGTACAGTCTAATGTCTCAGTGAAATTAAACTATATTCTATTTTCTTGAGGTAACCCTGTGAGGTGGGAAGACCATGGACTTGTAGAATTTGGAGTCAGCCAGACCTGGGTTCAAATCTCAGCTCTGCCACTAGGCTGTTTTGTTTGTAAAATGAGTAATTCTTGACTTGTGGAATTGCCATGAGGATTAAATAAAATAATATAGATAAAGTGACTGACAGAGTAAATTTTAAATGGATGTGATTTTTTCTCCCTCTCCACTTTCCTCTCACATATTTTATTTCAACACCTGTTTTTGAGGAGTTCCTTCCAAAGCAGATTATAAACTTGTTCCTCAGACTGGTGCTTCCCTCTACATTGCCAGCAGTCAAAGCAGGAGCCATACGCAGGGCAGCTCAGACTGTGAAACTACTTGGCTTCATTTCAACAGCCACAGAAACCCATGTCACGAGCTGGTGGCACCAATGCACAGGATGGACTTCCCACAATCTTTTAGTCTTGCATGGATAGAAATGCATCCTGATTTACATGCCTTAGGAGGTAGTTGTGGCACTGTGGTTTGTATTCCACAAATCCACATTGGACTGGGCAGATGTCAGAAGCAATGTTGCTACAATCCCTAAGAGCATCCAGTAATTTCCCTCTCTCAGTCTTCTTACTCTTTGGGGTCTGTTTATAAGCCTCCAATCAATTAGGGCATTTTTTGGTTACTTCTAACATTTTGCCTAATCAGTTTACTTATTAATTCCATTAAATATATACCTTTCAAATTAGATTTCCATTTACCAGATGATTTACTTAGCCAATCAATAGGAAAGTTCCAAGAATTGCAATCTCCCTATTTCCAATAATTTGTGGAGTCTTGGAGAGGTCATCTCTCTCATTTATATCAGAAGCAGCAGATCTATGGCAAGCAAGCCAAGTTATTAGACTTAACCTTTTAAGAAGTTATCCATACTAAGAATAGCTCAAAGTTACAGCACACTCAATTTTTAATGGAGTTATACTGAAGCTATTCTTCATTCTAGGAGAGAATTTGCTTTAATGCTGGCATCTCCCCATGTCTCCTGTAAGTTATTGGGCCACAGCCTCTCCTATGATATTCTGCAATTTTCCTGTCCCACAATGTGTTTAAAAATGTGGAAGTCCGTGGAGACAGATAGTTTGGGCATCCACGTTCAAAGACTGACATATCTATGCCTATGGGAGGCTGAGGGCAGAGAAGTAATGCCCTCTCTCGTCTTATTCACCAAGCCCCAATCCTGCTTTCAAATTCCTGTTGTACTTTTATTTCCTCCATGAAACCTTTCCTAATTTAACTCCATTCAGTTTCATTGCTCTATTCACTCCATAATATGAATAGTTACTATTTAAACATTTATTTAGCTCTTCCTATCTGTCAGACCCTGTGCTAAGCACTTTATATTAATTATCTCATTTACTCCTCAAAATAACCTTGCGAAAAAGGTATTATTCTTCTCATTTCATACGTGATGAAACCGCAGCTCAGAGGTGAGTGAACTTGTCCAGTGTCCCATTGCATGTATTAGAGCTCCGTCTGCCTCCAAAGTGCCCCCTTAACCAGCCTGCAATGTGGGGTGACTTTCTTGCTGCCCGCCCCACCACCAATGCACAGTTCTTGTGACTGAAGACTTTGCATGTGTTTACAGTTTTCAGTGAGTCTTTTTATGCCCATTTCATTGTGTATCTGCTTCTCTGTTTCTTAGACAGAATTGCAAAGATAGAAGATGTATGATCAGTGGTCCAGGGCTTTATTTGCTCCCCAGCAAGCACCTCTGGTATAGTCTAAAGAGCATTGAACTTGATGCATCATGATTTGAGGGCCAACTCTCGCTTTCCCTCTTCTTATCTAGTGGTTGAGCCAATCTTGCTGAACACATTTCCTCATCTGTCAAATGATGGTTATTATACTTATAGTGGAACTTATGCACGCACAAACGTTAGGTAAAGCACTATGAAGATGTAGAACATTCTTTTATGTCATGTCTCAAAACCCCTGCAGAGACTTTTGTTTTCACAGGATGATAAGTCAGTTGTGATAATTTTAGAGTCCTGGGAGAATGGTGCCCCAAGTATGCAAAGTAACTGCTCAGAGGAGCCTGGGACACAGGCCTGGGTTCCTGCTGGGTAATGGGGAGCCAATCAACAAATGCCCAGAGCCGTTTCCTCCCCTGAACAATGGGAATATGGAATGGTGTGACTGGCAAGGGGCCAGGCAGCTGTTCCTCAAGTCCTTGGAGGATAGCAAGAGTCTCCCATTGCAGGCAGAGGGATTTAAGTTAAACCTGAGGAAGTATTTCCTGAGCATGGGCACTGTGAGACTCTGGAATGCAAGGTCAAGGAAGGCTGGAATGTCCTTCTTTGGAAATAATGAAAAAAGAAGAACAAAAAAACCCAATTTGTTTGAATGCTGTGTTGCCTGGAGGCAGAAGAATGGATTAGTTCCTTTCAGATCAAGGAGTTAATATTGAGAAAAGAGATCTGCTTCTTGTCTGGTCTCACCTTGCATAATAGAAAACTTCTTTTCCATGCTTGTAAGAAGTAACGCGTGCTATATACGCTGATAATCTTCCCCACACCTCTCCCCTTCCCCAAACATCTGGTCCGGCTATCAACACTGTTTCATCCAGGGCGGCTGGCTCCTTGTCCATGGAGTTCTTCAGGAAGCACATGCTCCCAGGAGCAAGATCCTGGCACCTAAGAAAGGTTTAAGCGTCCAAATATGCCATGGAGTATACCACACGAGTGCTGTGGGAGCCGCTTTCCCAAGCTTGTTTTCATAGGTAGCACTTGACTGTGGCTTTTACTTTGCAGCTACAACCTTAAGCTTTCCACCAATCAATCAGCAGCCAGCAAATACAGAGCATTGGTTTTGTGAGTAAGAACACACAAAACCCTTTCCCTTTTATTGTCTTATTCCTGCCAACAGAGAATACACTTAATTAAAAGTCATTGGGAAATATTCCAAACAGAAGAGAAATGAAGCTTTTGAAAGGTGCAACCTGTGTGAGCTCTGGGCCCGTAAAATCATTAACCTTCGGAATCCTAGGAGTTGCCAACATAACAGTGAAGAGTGTGGCATTTTTCCACACAATACAAGCACATCAAGGAAATATGCAGCCCCACAAAATAACTTGCAAGCCTGCCTCACTTTTTTTTCAGTGTTTTTAACCTTCTCAGTGTCTCTGAGACACAGTTGGTCCAAGTGGGTGATGAGAACAAGTGTGGTGCTACAATTTAAAATAAAATTCGCAGTTTCCAAGGCTTGATTTTTTTCCCCAAGGATGGACCTATTTGATTGTTGTTTTACCACATGGACTAGTAGCATTTACTTCGTTCTCAAAAACAGCATTATAGCAGGAATTCTTGTCTCGGCATCTGCGGATGGGTTTCAGGAGTCTTTGAACCTAGTAAAATTATGTCCAAAATATCATGTCTATATGCTCTTTTCTGGAGGAGATGGTCCAAAGCTTTCTTCATATTCTCTTGGGGTTTTGTGATTATAAAATATAGAGAACGACTGCATTTAAGGCAAGCTCTCTTCGATCACTTCTCTGCCAACACGGCTTCTCTGCCACATGCCACCTGGATCTCTTGCTGTGATTTGCTGAAGGACGCCCTTCCTCCTGATGGTGGTATCCAAGCAGAAGCAGTAGCACGCACATCAGGCAAGCCAGGGCTGGGGGCGGGTGGGGGTTATCCTCAGATGCAGCAGAGGTAGAGAGGTGATCCAGATGATCTCTAGGGTCTCTTCCAATTCCAATTTCTAGGACTCCGTGAACCGGGACCTAGAAATAAGACTTTTGGGCCACATAACAGGCATTTTATTCCTTCTTTTCTTTCAAGGGAAATTGTCATCCTCATTGCCTTCCTGCTCCTCAGCGGACTGAATCTGACAAGCAGAGTCAGAGATGGAGTGTGTTGGCTACAGGTAGAGGCTGGTGGGGGAGTGAGGGTGACGGGTCTCTGGACCAGGGGATGTGGAATGTGGGTGGATAGATGATGTGCCCAAGGAGCAGAGCAGGTGATCTTAGAAAATGTGGGTGCTGCTAGAGTGACATCTCTGTGCAGGAAAACGCCTGTGGTCTAACTGTGTTTGGAAAGGGTCTGTTTGAGGTTTTTAGTATCTCCAGAACCACTTTTAGAGAGCTGACACTCCTGTTGCGTTTCCTTTTCTTTTCATTAAATGGAGCTAAAAATTGATTTGGGTGTAAGTCTTCCACGTGCTACTTCTGGTCCCTCTTGGCTTTAGCAGGATCAGATCTTTCAAAAGAAAACCAACACCAATAAAGTATCACGGTGTGGTTGCTCCTTCTGCATCCAAACCTTCCTAACCTTCTGGGCTCCCAGGTCTGAGCATCGAGGGGGCAGGGTACCTAAGAAATGACTGAATCAGTAGCCACAGCCCAGCAACTGCAGGCAGAAGAGATCAGTGGAAAGTTACAACAAACCCCTGTTGCTCAGTGGAGGAAACAACAAAAGCCTAGCATGAGAGAGACAGAAGGTGGAGCGACTCAATTATTAATTAACTAATTTGTTCAAAACTGTTAATGTTCTTACCATGTAGACAGCTCTGCGGCACTGCATGAGCCACTGTGGGAGAATCTGTCCTCAAGGAACTTGTAAGCCACTTACATAAACCATAATACTTTGATAGCTGAAGAGCAAAGAGCCCAATTAACTAACCGGGTGCAGACAGTAACTGCTGTTGAAATTCAGAGAAGGGAAAGATCCCTCAATGGGGGTGGTCAAGAAACGCTTCATGGAGGTGGTAAGAATCCTAGCGACTTTAGAAGATGGATAAAATTTGGAGAAGATAAGTGTTAGAGGGAATTCCAGGTTGGGAGTGAAAAGATGAGCATAGCTGTAGAGTATGAAAATATCAGGTATTATTGATCAATTGTGATTTAGCGTGAAGCTGTTAAAATAGACCCTGAAGGTCTTGCAGAAGGGTTTACA